GAGGGGTGGCATAGCCGCCCCCGATTATACAACTGATTCCACTGAGCGGTATATGAGGGGGTGGCATAGCCGCCCCGATTATACAACTGATTCCACTAAGCCGTATCTGGAGGAGTGGCATAACTGCCCCGTCCAGAGAATGCGTATCATGGAGTGGCCTTCAGTAACTCCCTAGTAATCCCTCGGTACTTGAAACAACTGGAAGGTTGTAACACTGCATAGTGGAGAACCGAACCTAGTTGAGGTTATCTGTAGGTTACTTAAGCGCCTGATAAGGGAATGCCCTGCAGCCGTAGTCATAGTACTCCACTCAACCCAAGGCTTTCTCATCTAAAGGGAAGTCAGAAGAGAGGTCATTGAAATATGATATCCACCCATACATGACATTCACGGGTACAGATGGTGCCACTACTCTCCCTACGTCTCCGCCGGTCACATGCACAGAAATCATATCGCATCAGTTACGCGACGTCACCTAGACTGCCGTTCCCTTATGATGAGTTTCCGTGATCTTCCATTCCACACAACCACGATATGCCCGTGCACCTTTGCTACCTCGAGGAGGATTTCGAGAAGTTCGCCGAGTTGCGCCATCTCTCGATCCCTACATCCTGCATCCCCACCACTTGCATACAGCTCCTCAATGCTTAGCTCCGTAATGTCGACGAGATTCCCGTCGAAATGCTTGCCCGCCACCAGAAGCTTGCTATCACCAAGAAGCATCTGTTCATATATAACCTTGGCGCCGAGTGACCGTCGAACGGATGAAGTTTTTAATTCTACTGCTGTCTCCATAGGATCGAATATTCCACTCTTCGCGCACCACAATCTCGATGTACCATCCTCGCAGAGCTCCCAGTCACCATCCGATAGCTGTCTTATACCCTGCTTGTCGGCTTGGCCGGCGCAAGCATCGACCTCAGCCCTTACCACGAGATGGAGGCCACCGAGTCGTATAAGAGAGACTCTATGGTGTCTGATCAGTTGCTCGGCACCCGATTGAGGTCTTGTCATGGCTTCCTCAAATGCCCATCCGTATGTTGGCTCTCTACCATGGTACTTCCAGCTACGATCTACCACCGCCGGTTGGCCCTCGCCACCACAACTCATGGTGAACTCGAAGCTATTCAACTTCGCGCCGGTGATGAAGCGCAAGAGATCGGTTAAGTGGCCACGATTAGTAACAAGAGAAACCTTGGACCAGTC